CCTGGCTTCACAAAGATCAGAGTTCAAGTCTTGCCTTAGACACTTACTGGCTGTGTGACCTAGGTAAGTCACTTAGCCTCTGTCTGTCTGAGGACCTTTACCTTCTCCAGTGCCTAGTTTCTTTATACTCTCTCAGAAGAAATCTGCTCTCAAAGAGGCAATGTGATATAAAGGATGGAGCTGAGGACCTGGGTTCAAATCCTGCCTCTATAAAATGGGGCTAATAATAACACCTGTCTTGGAGGATTGTTGTTCGGGTAAAATGAGATAATATTTTAAAGCACTTAGCAAACCTTATAGAATTATATAAATGTGAGCTATTAATATTATTATCCAAAGGGCCCACTCCCTCATCTCTCCTCCACTGCCTGGTTGACAACCAAATTCCCTGATTCTACTTTATTCCTTTGGTTTAAAACTTTGTTCCTCAGTTCTGCTTCATTTCCTTGGCTTAAAACTTTGATCTCTTTTAAAATACAAATAACCTGGGGGTAAGGGTGTTAAAAAAATAAAAAAGAACACACACTTTAAGCCTTATTAGCTTTTTGTAACTTAATTTTTCACAAGATCATAGGTTTAGAACTAGAAAGGACCTTGGCTCTGGAATTCACCCCTTGAATTTTACAGATGAGGAAACTGAGATCCAGAGAAGTTACAGGTCTCACAGCAAAATAGTCTTTAAGGTAGGATTTGAATCCAGGCCCTGAGCTCCATTTTTTTAATGTCATGTTGCCTCTGAAAACAGGTTTTTTTTTCGAGGGGGTATAAGCATGAAACTAGGCCTTGGAGAAGGGAAAATAAGAGTTCACTGAGGAGAGAGAGGGTACAGAAAGGGGGCCATGGTGCCCAAAACAAATGTTGTCAATCCCAATCCTTCTTGGATGACAAAAGCAAAGAAAAATCACTCTGGTATTGCAGTAGGTGCTTGACAAATGGTTCTTGAATTGATGCCCAGACCCTTTGGCTCTAAAAATTAGAATCATCTTTAAGTCTTCCTTCTTGAATCAATAAGCACCTACTGTGTGTACCAGGTACCACGCTAAGCTTTAGAATTCAACTTTAAAAGCAAGACCATCCCTGCTGTCAAGGAGCTCACATTTCTTACTGGATGTGAAACCTCATCATTTCAAATCCAGAGAGTTCTATTCAAAAGCAAGAACAATGGCTCAGTGGCAGCTAGGTGGCACCATACTATATAGACGGCTGAGCTTGGAATCCAAGACTCATCTTCATGAGTTCAAATCTGGCCTCAGACACTTCCTAGCTAGGTGACCCTGGGCAAGTCACTTAACCCTATTTGCCTCAGTTTCCTCATCTGTAAAATGAGCCAGAGAAGGAAATGGCAGACCACTCCAGTATCTTTGTCCCCTAATGGGTCATGAAGTATCAGACATGACCACAAACAAAAGAACAATAATGTGTTAAGTCAAGTGCTCTGGGTGAAAGGTGCCAAGAGGCACCAGGAAACTGCTGGGGTTGATAAAATGCTAACATTCAGGGAAGAGAGACTTTTCTCAACTGCAGGTTCTAGTTTGAGGCAAGAAATCCACGCCAACGATTCCAATTCCTCTCGAGTAACAAAGGCAAAGAAGTAAAGTCAGGCCAGTGCTGCATCTGGAAGAAAGGGAACCCTCTTCTGAAGATTCTCCTCTGGCGTTATTTAGTTTGCATTTATACGTTGTTTTCCCTAATAGACTGTAAGCGCAAGGGCAAGAACTGTTTCATTTATGTCTTTGGATCCTCAGGACCCAGCACAGAACTTGGCCCACAGTAGGTACTTAATGAATGCTGGTAGATTTATTATTAGATGCTAGAATTAATAAACTGAGATTCTGCTAGAAGCGCCTAATGAATACTTGCTAAATGAATACATTTAATTAATTAATAATTTAAATTATATTAAATTTCCAACATAGTCCTCCCCCTTATTAAATTGAGACAGTTGTATTGGATACATAATGTACAAGGTCCCTTCTAGTTCTGACATGCTATGATTTAGACATGGCTTTCCCTCTCTAGCTCTTCATCTCTTCCTTCCCCATTCCTCCACCAAGGCCTTCTGGGCATGACCTTTCTGAGAGCAGAGGGTATGCATACATGCCCTTTTAGATGTGAGACCAGCAGTTTGCCTTTGTATTTCTTTATATTAGTTCTCTTTATGTATTTGATACAGACTTATAAATAACATGTATGTGTCATCTTCCCTATCGTAAATCCCATGTGAATAGAGATTGTTTCATTCATTATGTTAGCATAAGAAGAAGCCAGTGGAGCACAGAAAAGATGCTTAGTAGGCACATCTTGCTCCATTTGTGTTTGTACTTGGAATCTCTTTTATTGATTTACTTATTTATGTTTTTACTTAGAGGAAGGGTCTTCCTATCTCTCCCAGGCTGGGAGTGCAATGGCCACTCACAATTGGCACAAAAGCTTTGATCTGCTCAGTTTCTGACACCTCCCGTTAGGGAGCCTGGTAGCATCACACTCTCAGGGCTCACCATGGTGCCAGACTTGGTATAGATATTCAATATCTTTAACCTGACTGCAGCTCAGAATTCTAGAACTCAAGCAATGGAGACTAACTTCAGCTTCCACAGCTGCAGGCATTATGGGCATGCACCCCCACGCTCAGCCTCAGAATCTCTCTTATAAATACAGATTTCTAGCCCTTCACACAGAAAAAAACCCAACTGGATGATGAAGAACACATTGCCCAGATGACACTATGCCACCGGATGGGCAGCCCTTTGGTTAGACCAGAGGTACCAAACACACTACTCTTTGGCTACAGCCCTACAAGTTGTACCTGAACCAAGTGTGTAACCGAGCCAGATGAAAATGTAATTGGAAAATATGGAATGAAATAAGATACAATAGAACATCGGTAATGTTAAATATGTGCTTTTCTAAGTCAAAATGCTGCCTGCAGGGATGCTTATATACCCATTAATGGCCCCATTTCTATTTGAGTTTGATATCAATGGGTTAGACCATCAGTGAATATATACCTGGTAGACATTACAGATGGACAATGACCCTTACTAACCAAGGAGCTAGATTCAGATTTGAAGAGGAGAAAGAAGTGGGATAGACTGCATTTGGGAAATTGGACAATGCTTTTAATTATTCCAAACTGTTCCTGACAAAGACAAAACATAAAAATGTTCCAATGGCAATATTTTCCTCATAATACTATAGTTACAAATTAAGAATTGGAGCGTGATAAGATATTTGGAGATTAAAAAAATGTGAGTAGCCCAGAGTGCAGTGGTGGGGCACACAGTGGTTGTAAGGAGCCTGACCTATTGCATATTGTTGTTGTTATTCAGTTGTTTCAGTCATGTCTGCTCTTCACGACCTGAGTGATTTGACATTTCCTTCTCCAGATCATTTTACAGATGAAAAAATTGAGGCAAACAAGGTTAAGTGACTTGCCTAGGGTCACATAGCTAGTGTCTTGAAGCCAAGATTCGAACTCAGGAAGCTGAGTCTTCCTGATTCTAAGTCCAGTGCTCTATCCACTGCACCATCTAGCATCCTCTATTGAATAGTTCTAATGATTAATCACCCACAACCTCAAACAGCATAGAGAGACATTATACAATGAGGTAAAAGAGTTGTCAAGGTAGAAGGAAGAGTCACAGATGAGCAGCCTGAGTGTTACCATGGTATTGCCTATATCTAAGATATCTATATCTGACCTAGGCAGAGACGTCAAACTCATGGCTAAGGGGCTGTAAGCCCATTACAATGTAATGGGGAAATGTTTAACAAAATAAATAAAAATTAAATACAATACAGACAATGTTAATTTGTGGTTTTCCAAGTCAATATGCCTCTGTGGGACCCATTTCTATTGGGGTTTGAAGTCACCGAGTCCTAGAGGAAAGTCTCTAGCACCATGAGGGGATCCATGGACAAGAATTGTGCAGCATAAGAAGACATAGGTGGAGTGTGATCAGCACCAGGGAGGGGAGTTACCAGATGGATGGGACAACAACAGATATTTACTGCATATAATACTTTAGGTTTGCAGGGTGGTTTACGTGTAAGATGAAGAGGTTGGCCCAAATGACCTGGGAAGTTGTTTCTAACTCTAAATCTATGGTCCTATAACACGTCCAACACTCTATCCTTCCACTGGACAGCACCAGCCTTCCAAACACAGAAGCATCAAAGTACCTTTGATATCTTTGTACATTTTGTTTTCTTAAACCAAAAAACCCTGCCACATGGAGTGTGGTAATTAAGCCAGAGTAGTTAAAACTAAGTCAGTGACAGTACCTGACTGCCGTGGCCTGTCTGAAACAGGATTAATACACCTGAACACAGTAGAGAGGGATGTGGGAAATAAGTCCCCACCTACAAGCAAGTGTAATGATTTAGCTCTCAAAATAACCTTCTATCATTTATAACGAGCTACTTCTTTCCACCTTCATGGAGACCAAGACTTATGAAATGGTATCACAATTATTTTTTTTTGGTGAGGCAATCAGGGTTAAGTGACTTAGCCGGTTCACACAGCTAGTAAGTGTCATGTGTCTGAGACTGGATTTGAACTCAGGTCCTCCTGGCTCCAAGGCCAGAGCTTTATCCACTGCACCACCTAGCTCCCCCAATCACAATTGTTTTTTACAGCCTTTTCACCACCTTTGGTATCTATATGGCTCAGTGGATAGAGCCCTGGGCCTGGAGTCAGGAAATGAGAGTCCGAATCCTCAGACATTTACTAGCTGTGTGACCCTGGACAAGTCACTTAACTTCCATCTGCTTCAGTTTCCTCTACTGTAAAATGGGAGGCAATAATATCATCTACCTCCTAGCACTGCTGTGAGGATCAAATGAAATAATAGCTTGGTGCAGGCGTTGGCACACAGTAGATACCTATTAAATGCGTGATTCCTTTACCTCAAAGGAATTGAGATTTTAAAAGTACACACACACACACAAAACAGTAATTGACAGTTTATATAGCACAGGAAAAATAAATATGTGCATACCTGGACTGGGAAGATTCTTCTCCCTAAAATGAAAAGAAATGCTGAGTTTAATCAAATTTAGTCATCTAGGTTATGAAGTAAGTATTTTGAAAGAAAAAAAAAACCACATTGACCTCAACCAGAATTGTCAAATCCAGAGTTTGGTTAAATGGAGTTGGGATTTTCAAAGAATTTTCTTTTTTTTCTAAGCCTATTTCTAAAGCACAGGTCTGACTATGTCACTCTTCTGCTCAATAAGCTTCAAAGGTTCCCAGTTACCACTAGGATGAAATACAACTATTTCTGTGGCATTAAAAGCCTTCCCAACTTGGTTCTAGACTATCTTGACTGTCTTATTTCACATGACTCCTCTCTTCTGCCTTACATTGCAGCCAAACTGGCCTGACTCTTGTTCCCATGCATTACATTCCATTTCTGAGCTGCAACCAATCAAGCAATAGCATTTATTTAGCACCTACTGTCTGCTAGGCACTATGCATATATACAAAGAAAGAAAAACCCAACCATTTCCTGCCCTCAACGATCATAGACTAGAACTAAAAGAAATCTCACCACCTGATTTTATGGGGGGTGGGGAAAGCAAGGGCCACCAGGTTAAGTGACCTGCCCAAGGCACACAAATAGGCCTAAGGACCAGAGTCAGCATTTGAATCCTGGTCCTTCCATTCAAAATCCAGTGTTCTTTCCACGATAATGCACTGCTCCTGTGGATATATTCTCTCCTTATCTCTACCTCATAGAATCCCTCTCTCTCTTCACAGGACCCAGCTTAACTGTGACCTCTGAAACAAGACCTGTCCCACCCACCTGCTAGTATCCAACCCCAGAAATTCCTTTGTATGTATCTGTGTACCTGGTGCATTCCTGCACTCTCACTCTCAGTGGAATAGAAGCTGCTTGAGGACAGGAACCGTTTTCATTGGTGGGGAGACGAAGGGTTTTATTGTTGATGTCTAGCACAGTTACCAGTAAATAGTGGGTATTTTTAAAAATAAATACATGCTTGTCACTCATTGCTCCCCAACTCTACCAAACTACGAATGGATGTCCCAAATCCAGTGTGAATTTCTACATTTGCCTTATTGTTATTTAGTCTTTTTTTCAGTTGTGTTTGACTCTCTGTGACCCCATTTAGGGTTTTCTTGGCAAAGATACTGGAGTGGTTTGCCATTTCTTTCTCCAGCTCTTTTTACAGATGAGGAAACTGAGGCAAACTGATTTAAGTGACTTGCTTAGGGTCACACAGCTAATAACTATCTGAGGCCAGATTTGAACTCAGGAAGATGAATCTTCCCGACTCCAGATCTGGCACTCTATGCACTATGGCACCACCTACTTCAGCAAAATACTATGGACTTTAGGTGAGGCTGGTTCAATGCTTAGTGCCTGCTCTGTCTCTGGGCAGGTCAGGACAGCCATGGATTCATGGGAATTATTAAAAATGGAAGCAGTAACTAAGAGCAGAAGGCTAGACTTAATGGAACCTCTTCCTTCTGGGGTCTCTCGGTTTTCTCCAATGTTGGGAGCATATCACCCCTCCCCTCCCTTTCAAAAAAGTGAACCGATCCTCCTTTAGCCTATGTGTTTGAGGCATCTTTGCTTTTCAAAAGAGTAAGATCATAGCATCATAGACTTGGCTAGAAGGGACCTTTGAGGAGATCTAGTTCAACCTGCTCACCTTACAGGTGAGGAATGGGGGTCGGAGAAATGAAAGGATTGTCTCAATATTATATAGGTAGTAACAGGGATAGGCTTTGAACCCAGGTCTTCCGAGTGCAAATGCAGTATACTGTCCCACTATATCATAGTAGGGTGCCTGGTGCATAACAGGTGCTTAATACATGTTTATTGACCATTGACTATGCTGCCCCCTGGAAAGGGGCATAGTTAGGGTCTACCCAGGGGTAGTGAATCATTGAGTGAAAGCCCAGGGGTTGGTTAGAGATGTGGGACCTATTTAAATTTGAACAGTCTTGAGCCCACTTACCGGATTCCATTTGTCGTGGGTCACAGATCCAAGCTGAGGCTGAGGTTCTTTCCCAGGTAGAGAAGTATGGTTGGAGTGGGTCTGTGGCCCAAGGCAAGCACCGTTGTCTACGAGGCTGTTTGTTGGACATGGACAACTGGTTTTGGAGTTTGTAAAACTGAACGGTGCCGTTGTTGTTTGCAAGTGGGGAACTGCTTTGGGACTGAGGTTCAAGGATGACAGAGACTGAGAGCAAGCCTTAGGGCTTCTGGAAAGACTTTCATAAAGGGAGCTCAGAGAACCCTGGCCCCGCTTCCAGTTTCCCCAGTTAGATGTTTCCAAAGAGTCCTGATGAGGGGGCAGCTGAGAGGTGCTACTTCTGAGCCGCCTCAAGGTGGGAGAGGTTGAAATCCGGCTCGGGGCTTGCCTATCAAATTGGAAGAGACTACCCCAGCCACTGCCATACTGTGCTGAGGGACTCTTTGGAGACTGGTTAGCAGGACCCCGATGACCTCTTCCCTGTATCAATGTATTGGAAGACTCTTTGTCCTGCCCAGATGCAAATCCCACATTTTCAGAGGGAGCCTGCGGGATGCTCTCTGAATCACTGTTCTCTGAAGAACTCCCACTGTGATCTACCTTCTCATGTTCCATGTTCAAGCAAACTCCTTCATTTGGTTCCAGAGTGTTGTCAAGAGAGTGCTGTTGCATTTTTAGATAAAATGAACCAAGAGCTCAGAATCTGTTGTCAATAATGAAGAGTCATATTAGGGGATGTGGGGGAACGTTTGGAATTTCTGATTCACCGTCAGTGCTAGATGGAAAGATAAATAGTAGGATTACCATCTCGATAAAAAAAAATAACAATACCATAATTAACTTTTGGGATCCCACCATTTTGATCTAAATACTTTGGTTATTGAAGTTTATTTACTGCCTAATAACATGTCTTCCTGTTTCTAAGAAGAAAGCTTTAAAAAAATTTTATAAAGATTCTTAGGAGGCTTCTTGGAACTCACGTTGTTGATGATTCCACTGTAAATGAATAAAGATGTATTTAGTTTCCCCTAGGTTCTGATGTTGTGGGTTTTTTTTAATGCAGTACCTTGCCCTCACCAGTGTATCTTGGGGACGCAAACAAAGGAAGCCAGGAAGCTTTCCTTGGGGTTTAAGTTATAGAAGGCTTTAGAGATTATGATGAAAAGCATTTTTAAACACATTTAAGATCTTATCAATTGTGATTTTAGGAAAATAGTTTGAATATACTCTCTTCCCACCAATTCACCAGATGTTCTTCATCCCTGTGTAATTAGAGATCTGTTTCCAATGATTATTAGTTACTAAATCATTCTTGCCCCCATTCTCCTAACCCCCAAGTAATCTAGGAAGAGGCATATATCCCATTCATAAAGCAAAATTTTGTTCAGGGCAATTTTGAAATGGCTTCACCATGCATAGAAAAAAAAATCTAAAGATAAAAGTTATTCCAAGAGTTAATTCTTGGTTACTTTCAGTCCTTAATGAGATGAGGTGAGCCCATACTGACACCTGAAAAATCTACTATTGCCCCCACCCCCACACCATTTTGGTATAGAACATAGGACTGTAGATTTAGAGCTGAAAGGGACCTTGGAAATCTAGTTGTATTCTTGGGAATCTAGTTCAATTCCTTTATTTTATAGGTGGAAGTTGGAAATGACGGAAAAAATTGAATAACAACAAAAAACTTTAGAATACATACTTAGTAACCCCTATTTTACCAGCTCAGGAGCCTTCCCACCATCACCTTCCTCCCCGCCCCCCCCACCTTCTACTTCATAGTTCGTGGGTAGGATTCAGATAGAAGAGAATGACAGATAAAGTCTCATTGCAGAGATTTAAACAGTGAGTACAGTTTACTGGATTCTTGTCTGAAAACCTGAAATTCCTATTGCTACGTTTGCATTTTAGTGTTCCCAGTGGAGGACTGACTTCAAAAGAATTTCTGATCTAGTATTTTGTATGTACATATATCACATGTATGTGTGGACAAACACATGCCCATGTATATGCATATATACCTACATGCTCTGCCTGGTTTCAGCACCACACTGGTCTTTCCTTGACCTTTCTATGTTGCCTGCCTCCATTATTAGATTGTAAGCTCCTTGAGGGCAGAGACTGTCTCTCTATTATGTGTATCCCCAGCAGTTAGCACAGTGCCCTACAGATAGTAGTAGCTTGATAAATGTTTATTGGATGCTCACACATAAGTACATAGAGGTATATGTTGCTGCTGTCCAGTCGTTTCAGTCACATTCAACTCTTTGTGACCCCATTCAGGGTTTTCTTGGCAAAGATACTAGAGTGGTTTGCCATTTCCTTCTCCAGCTTATTTTACATATGAGGAAACTGAGGCAAACAGGGTTAAGTGACTTTGCCAGGTTCACACATCTAGGAAGTGTCTAGATTGGGTTTGAACTCACGATGATGAGTCTTCCTGATTCAGCAGCCTGGCATGCCTAGTTCCATATATAGGTATATATGTACCTATATATATATGTGTGTGTGTATCTATATCTATATCTATCTATCTATCTATATACACATACACACATATGTACACACAGTTATATATGTATGTATGTATATATATCTACATATACACATACATATACCTTTTGGTGGGTGGGAGTGTGGAAACGAAGAAGGTAAAAAAAATTCATATCCCCTATTTTTCATTTGCACCCACACAGTTTTTGAGGGGGCAATTGAAAATGACAGCAACTTCTTTCCATTCTGACCATCAAAAGAAACACACAGAGTGTGTAAATATTAGTTTTTGAAAATTTGATGATTCCATTAAGAGATGGGAAAAGACTCTCTTCTCTTCATGAGGAAATGGCTGAATTTCAGAGCAGAAATATTTTCCTGTAGATTCCCTCCTCAGAAACTTCATACTTTTCTTTGTCTGCTTGTCCACATTCTCCACATGGACAATGCCAAAGGCATTCGGCTTATTTATTTAGGTTTCACGTTATGTTCAGTTTTGCTTTTCCAAATTTGTTTACCAAATAGGAGTGCCAATACCCTGAGTGTCTGGGCTTGTCTTGACTGCCTATTTTTGCCTTAAAGGGAATGGTTATTGTGTATTAAAACAGAACAAAGCAAAAAAAAAAACCCCAAACAAACCGGACATTGAGTCTTGGGGAATCCAGTCTGAAGTATGCTGAATTTGGGGTCGGAGGGGCCAATGTTTGAAGCTCAGATCAGCCAGTGACTATGTGCCTTTGGACAAGTAATTTTATCTCTTGGGGTTTCACATCTTTATCTGAAATCATCTGAAAAATGAGGAAATTGGACTAGATGATCTGAGATCCTTTCCCACTTTGTCTACAATCCTATGAAGGGGTTGTTGGGTCCATCCCCATTATTAACATAGAGGGAAACTGAGGCTCAGATAGGCTGAGTGATTTTCCCCAGGCCAAACTGTTAGAAAGTGATTGAGCTATGACCAGAACCTAGGATTTGGGATTCCAAGTCTAGACAACATCCTTCCCTTTATTGGAGAGATAAGATGGTGATGCTTTGGGATATTTCATTTTTGTTTTTGCATCCACAGTGGACTGGCACATAGTGGGTAATGAACCAATTTTGTTTATGATTGATTTAGGGGAGTTCTGCACATCATTGAAATCATAGTGTCACCCCCCCCCAAAGCTGAATTACTATATCCACTGGTATAGTAGTCACATAGACATCTAGGTTGGCACAGTGGATAGAGCACTGGGTCTGGACAAAGGAAGACTCGAGTTCAGATCTGGTCTCAGATACTTATTATCTGTATGACTCTGGGCAAATCACTTAACCCTGGTTGACTCAGTTTCCTCATCTGTCAAATAAGCTGGAGAAGGAAATGGCAAACCACTCCAATATCTTTGCCAAGAAAACCCTGAATGAGATCATAAAGAGTCAGACATGATTGACCAACCAAAAAAAAACCCAACCAAATTAGTCACTCCTATATCTTCCATGGAAATCCACCTTTCCCTCTTGCTCCTTTGACTGGAAGGCAACATGTTATAATGAAAGGGATGCTGCCTTTGGAGTCAGAGCACCTGGTTTCATATCCTGTCTCTGAAACAATATTTCTATCACACAGAGCAAGTCAGTCTCCATGAACCTCAGTTTCCTCATCTGTAAAATGAGACAGCAGAGAGAGCAGGATTCAGCCAGAAAGACCTTTAGTTCAAATCTTGTTCCAGATACTAGCTGTGCAATCCTGGGCCATTCACTCCATCTCTTGGACCTCAGTTTTCCCCTTTGTAAAATAAAGAGGTTGAACTGTAGGACCTTTAACATCGCTGTCAGCTCTATGACTCTGTAACAAGATGGTACCTTCTAATTCAAGAGCTATGATGCTATAATCCTTCCTCAGCTGGATGGCTTCTGGAGAGTCACCCATCTATTGCCCCTGAAAGGGTCGTATGGACCTATTAGAAAATAACTCAAGCCTCAGGTTGAGGGGTGTGGGGCTCAGCTGAGAAGGCTGCTCCTTCTTCTCCAGGGCCCTTTCCAAGTCTCCATGGTACACCAAGGAGAAGCAGAGAATTTGAAACCCACCAGGACTCTGACAATGCATCTAAAAGTCAATAGAATCAATCTGATTTTCTCAGCTGTTACCCAGAGATTTTCCTCTCACGGTTTACAGAAAAGAACAATCCAATAGCAGGGTCACAAAAAATGAAATTCACTTACCTCGTTGATCCATAACCTGAAAGAACACAAACATGGACACTCTAGTACTCCGAGGGAGAAGCTATCTCTCTGTCCCATAAGGCAAGCTACATGAATTAATGATTCATTAAGCCTTAAGATAGGTCTGTAGCAGGTGACCACACCTAACCACAGCCGGAAGAAAAAGACTCAGTCTATATATAACAGGGAATTGTCAACAGGAGAAACAGATTACCCCCCCGACCACCCTGACTTAAATACCTGCCAGGTGGGCACACTCAGAGCATGCCACCAGCCCTGATGTCTTCTGGTAGCCCGAGGAAAGTTTTCAGATCCAAAGAATGAGCTGCCAGGCACTCTTCACAGGTAACTGGCTCTACCATGGACACAGCGTCTGCTGCTTTGCTTAATGAAAGCAACCATGATGAGCTGCTGAAATGAGGAACTAACCTTCTCCCTTCTTAGATACCTTTCTAGATATTTGTTTATGAAAAAGGCCTGGGGGAAATGACTCCAGATTCCAGGGCAGCTTTATTTATTTTTTTTAAAGATCAGATGATTTTTTTTATTATTCACTGGTTGTTAGTGGCTGTTACTAATTAAAGCAGAGGCAGCTGCCTCTGACTCCTACTGGCAGAGTGACCCTGGACAAGTCACTTAACCTCTCATTTTCCCTGGCCACTCTCTGTAAGTGCTGATCTTGGTTGGTGGAGAGAATTTCTCACCAGGGATCTCCTCAAGTTCCTGAAATCGAACTACTTCTGCCCCTACAAAATGGTCAATACTGGGGAGGTGATACTAGTCTGACCTTTTATTTCCCTCATGTTGTGTTTTTTTTTTTTTGGCTAGGCAATGGGGTTAAATGACTTGCCCAGGGTCACACAGCTAAGTCTGAAGCTGGATTTGAACTCAGGTCCTCCTGAATCCAGGGCCCATGCTCTAGCCTCTGTGCCACCTAGCTGCCCCATTCATATTGTATTCTTAGTCGTTGGCTTGGACCTGTCAAGGGTTGAGTTTGAGAAGAGAGATTATTTTGGGTTTGGATTCTAAGTAAGTGAGAGTTCTGGATTCTAAGTAAGGCAAAGCCTAAATAATTTGGGCCCCACTTATTCAGAGATAATGAGAGCCATCATATATTAATAACACCCAACAATAATAGCATGTACACGTATATGTAGGTACACACATGTATCTGCATATGTATGTGTACATACATATGTGTGTATGTAGATAGATTGATCTATTACAGCTAGATGGCACCATGGATAGAGTGCTGGGCCCAGAGTCAGGAAGACTTTCATCTTTCTGAATTCAAATCCAGCATCAGATATTTACTTGTTTGTGACCCTGGGCAAGTTACTTAATCCTGTTTGCCTCAGTTTCCCCATCTGTAAAATGAGCTGGAGAAGTAAATAGAAAACCACTCCAGTGCCTTTGCCAAGACAACCTCAAATGGGGTTATGAAGAATTGAAAATGACTGAATAGTAACATATATACATTTTTACGTATACAAATGTGTATATATATACGCGCATATTTATACACACACACTTTGGTTTGCAAAACGCTTTAAAATATTATCTCATTTGATCCTCAAAACAACCATGGGAGATAGGTGTTATTATCCCCATTTTACAGATGAGGAAACATGGTCAAATAAATAAAAGGTAAGATTTAAACTCAGGATTTCCTGATTCTAAGCCCAATGTTGTCTCCATCGAACCACTTAGCTGCATGTATAATGATGATGGTAATGCTCTAGAGACAGTATGGAATGAAGAGTGAAATTCTGGGTCTGGAGGGCAAATACTTAGTACATTTAAACTGTATGGAATAAAAGACCTTCAAAAGATAGAAATCAAGCAGAAGAATTGAAGATGGTATGGGAAAAGGCTGAGGTCAATATCCCCATTATTCTGTCTACTTCTGGAGTTACATTGAGGATGTTGTAAATGGGTCTACAGAAGTTGAGTCTGGAGGAGCTCACCTACCTGCCGATGGCCCTTTCTTGTTCTCCTTTGCTTGATTATCATCATATTCTATCTTTAACTATGGGTGTACCCCAAGGCTCTGTCTTGGACCCTCTTTTCTTCTTCTCTCCATCCACTTGATATTGTTATCAGATCCCATGGGTTAAAAACAAATCCTAATATTTTTATTCAATGACCAAAAGCAGTTATTTTATCTGCCTGTGTAATAGTCCACAGAACTTTAAATATAAAAGAAGAATAGCAAGATAGGGATTTGTCACAGGAAATTTTTTCTGAACTCCATTCTATGAGAATGAAATAATATGTATGAGAATAATATGAGAATGAAATAATAATGACAATAACAGTAGTGATAATAATTGCAGACAGAACTTTTGCTCATACTTATCTGGACATAACTTTGACCCACAAATTTTAAGAAAAAATGTTTTTAAATAGATGTCTCCATACTAAATATTCAAACTATGTAGAATGAGAAGCTTCCAATATTATAGGGACCTGGTGGAAAGAATCATAACTATATGGGGCCAGTATGATCCCGTCTGCTACTGGTATTGTCCCAAAGATGCTTTCAGCATTTTGCTTTCAGTGAACTCATAAAAAATGAGTATACATTCCAATGCTTTTATTTAATTATCAAAATCAGTCATTTTTTCCACCTGTGCAATAGTTTGTAAAACATTAAAGATAAAATAAATAACAGGAAAGCTACATGTCCCAGTACTTTAATATCAGATTTCCATTAAAAATGGTGAACAGAATAAAATAATAACAATGACAATAATAAATATGGAGGCAAGTATGGTGTAATAGAGAGTGAGCCAGCTTTGGAGTCAGGAAGACCTGGTTCAAATCCCACCCCAGACACAAACTGGCTTAGTCCTTGGCCAAGTCGCTTGACATCTCCATACCTTTAGCAATTCTCAAAACCTATAAGTAGCAGAGCAGTTTTTGATCTAAATTGATTGAGAAAGTCTTCCCAAAAGAAATTCTAGCATCAATGAAATCACAAATGAAATTACAATCAAAATAATATTAAAAATAGTAGCCACAATGTAATGATAATTAAATTTTTTTATATGGCACCTGAAGATCAGCAGTGGTCTGCAAAGTGTTTTCCATACAGCAGTCTTATGAGGCAGGCATGATAATTTTGAATTGGATATTTTTGTACTATTTGTTAGGGAGAAAGGATTTATTAAATATGTAGGGTAATATTAGTAATATTAAAAAAATCTGGAAATAGATTACATGTCCCAAAACTACTATTTCCTGTCTCTTCTCTCTCACATCCAAACTCTTAGGAGAGCCTCTCTCACCTATCATTACCTTCATTTCCTGCTCTCCCATTCTTCAGTCCTTTGTAATTTGGTTTCCCACCTCATTATTTACCTGAAGGTGTACTCTCCAAAGATACCAATAACCCCTCACTGGCCAAATCTGAGAACCTTTTCTCAGTCCCCACCATTTTCAATCTTTCTGAAGCATTTGATTCTGTTGACCATCCTTTGATCCTAATTTCTTTCTTCCCTATGGATTTTCAAGACATTTGTTTTTCTCAGTTTACCTGTCTGCTTAACTGCCTCATCTTAGTCTCCTTAATTTGTTCATCACCATATTCTACCCCTTAACTCTGTACCTGAAGGCTCTTTCTTTTACTCTCTTGACTTCTCTTGCAACAATAACTTCATGATCTCGTGAATTCCCATGGCTTCAATCATCATCTCTATGTCATTGACTCCCAGATCTATATGTCTAGGCTTATTCTTCCTCCTGTGCTCCAGTACTGCATGGCCAACTGCCTGTTGGACATTTGGAACACCTGACATTTTTTGAGTACTTCCTCTCTTGAGTTAATAAAGTTTTCAGGGGCTTCTGAGACCCCCATTGCTGGAAAGTTCCACATCCCAGCTTCAGGTGATTTCATTTGGAAGGTCACAAATAGTTATAATACAAGAGATGTGAAGATTGGTCGATATGGGGATGAGTAGAAAAGAGGGAGTGTGGTGGCTGTCAGGCTGGCGCTCTAGTGACTAGTAGGGGTATGTTAGTCCTGGCTCCCTCTCCCCTGATCCAAACTGAACTACCTTACAAGGTGCAACCAGCATGGGCAGGAATGGGGTAGGGTTGCATCAGAGTCTACCACAATGTTACATGCAGTACTGGTGTCCACTGAAAGGACTTCCTTTATATATTGCAGGATGAGCATGAGTCGATCGTAGGATTATAGACTTGGAGATGAAGGGACTTTGGATGTCATCAAGTCCCTACTCCCCTGGAGTGGGAAACTAAGGCATAGGGTGGCTAAGTGACTTGCCCAAGGTAACACAGCTAGTTAGTGTCTGAATTAGGATTTGATCATGGGTCTTCCTGACTCCAAAGCCAGTACTTGATCCACTATATCCATCATCTGCCAAAATGGATAGTTACGTCATCTTGGGCTAGTTCATCATAGACTGGACAGGTCTATCTAACCAAATATTGATTCAATAAGGCAGGGATATCCCATGCTAAGTCATGACACAGAGTCAAGAGGGAACTAGCAAATTCCATACAATCAGAGCTAAAAAGAAGATCTAGACCATGTGCTAAGCAATTTTTCCTATTTCCAATGAAGCAAAAGATTATAGATATTGGAATAGAGGAAGGGTAAGATAATGGAATTGCCCAAGGCCACCAGCTCTCTGAATGAGAAATGCTCATGGTCTTGTCCTCTGTCTTTGGGAATCCAAGAGCTCTTCAAATGTCAGCTGTTATGTTATCACCTGTAGAAAGTCTTTCATGATTTCTCTTCATAGTGGTTAGTACTTCCCTCTTCCTCTCCTAAATACTGCACATTCACTTTGCCTATTTTTTTATTTTAATTGTCTGTATATTTATTTTCCCCCCAGTGGAATGAAAGATCCTCTAGGGCAGGGACAATTCATTTTTGTCTTTGCATCCCTATCACCTAGCATTATGACTGGCACAGTGTGGGTCTTTAATATGATCGTGAATTGAACTGGATTTAATTCTGCCAAGGTTCATTGCCCTTGCTGGCACCAGAGAATTCATTTGTTGGCCATCTCACACTTGAGAGTTGGGGGAGATTGGTACCAAAAGCCTTGAACTGTTCAGAAATCCTTCTATATTGCCCAATGGGACTATTTTCTATAAGGCAGGGGGTAACATATTGTGAAGGATGTCTCCATTAGACCGAATATAATGGAGGACCCTGTGGTCTGGGCTATGGAAAACAGCTTGGGCTACAGGCAGGGGTATGATGAGCCAGCTCCAACAGGCTTGCAAAAACCTGTTGTTAAATACTCATTGTGAATATTTAAATATTCGAGGAGATGTAACTATTAATGCTTCAGAAATG